TAATGCCAGATTCCCAGGACACACGAACCTCAGGTCCCAGAGCTGCCAGGCCTGCCATCCCAAGACCTGGGGGCTCATTGACCCCATCGTTCATTCAACAGTTATTTATTGAACATCTATCATATGCCACATGCTGTTCTAGGCCCTGGGGATAGCACTGAGGACAGGACAGGCTTGGTTCCTGCTCTCAAGGAGCTTACAGTCAAGTGTCAGTCACAAAGTCTATAGTGGGGAGAGCTGGGTGCTGCAGAACCCAACTCCAGGCACCTTGGCCAGTTCAGTAGGATCAGGGAAGGGCTCTGAGGAGCGGACATTGAAGCTGAGGCCTGAGTAGGAGTTGGTTGGGAGGAAGAGAGCTTCAGGCAGAGGCAATGGAGTAGATAAAGACCCAGAGGCCATGGAGAGCCTGCAGGTTTAGGACCCAGAGAAAAGCTTCAGCAGGGCTTGAGCCTCGCCTGGGAGGTGTGTGGGAGGTGTGAGACATGGGTCAGGGTAGCGTGATCGGGCTGCTCTGGTTTTCTTCCCAGCACTTCCCACCATCTGACACATTTTCTATTTACTGGCTTATTTCAGACCCGCCCAGCAGCAGGGAAGCTCCGGGGACAGGCTCCTTGACTGTTGGTGCTAGTGTTGTCTGCCCACTGCTGCCTCTGCAGAGCCCAGAATGGTGCCTAGCACACAGCAGGAGTCTAACAGGTGGCTGGTGAATGAATGAGTGAATGGGGGGTTGGGGGAAGCATTATAAACTGTATCAAGAAGTTGGGTTCCATTTGGAGAGCATTCACCAGCTCCACACCTTTCTTTTTTTTTTTTTTTTTTTTTTTTTTTTTTTTTTTTTTTTTTTTTTTTCTGAGATGGAGTTTCACTCATTCACCCAGGCTGGAGTGCAGTGGTGTGATCTCAGCCCACTGCAACATCCACCTCCTGGGTTCAAGCAATTCTCCTGCCTCAGCCTCCCGACTAGCTGAGATTACAGGCGAAAGCCACCACGCCAAGCTAATTTTTTGTATTTTTCATAGAGATAGCGTTTCACCATGTTGGCCAGGCTGGTCTCAAACTCCTGGCCTCAGGTGATCCGCCTGCCTCGGCCTCACAAAGTGCTGGGATTACAGGTGTGAGCCACCATGCCCAGCCTTTTGGAGAGATGGGGTTTTGCTATGTTGCCCAGGCTGGATTTGAGCTCCTGCCTTTTCTCACGTCCTTAGCTGACTGTCTCCCAGCATGGCCAGGTCCCAGAAGACAAACTTCAGGCTAGGGCCAGGGCCATGTTTGTAAGCTGTGGTGCAGGCAATGGAGGAGTCAGATTTTAGTTCTGTTTGTTTGTTTGTTTGTTTTTTGGGACAGAGTCTCAATCTGTCACCCAGGCTGAAGTGCAGTGGTGTGATCTCAGCTCACTGCAACTTCCACCTCTCGGGTTGAAGCAATTCTCTGCCTCAGCCTCCCGAGTAGCTGGGATTACAGGTGTGCACCACCATGCCCAGCTAATTTTTGTATTTTTAGTAGAGACAGGGTTTCACCATCTTAGCTAGGCTGGTCTTGAACTCCTGACCTCATGATCCACCTGCCTCAGTATCCCAACATGCTAGGATTACAGGCGTGAGCCACCACACTTGGCCTTTGTTCTTATTTCTTAAAGAACCAACACAAGACACCAGTTTTGAGAGAAGTAGGTGATCTTGCCTTTTTCCTTTGGGATTTATAGTACATACTCAGAAGGCACACACAAAAAGAAAAGAACGCTATTAATTTGGGAGAGGGGATGCATGTAAGGTATATCAGGAGTGTGCCCAACTACCAGGGTCCTCACATGCAGAGAAATGAAAGCATTTTTCCAGATACCTTCACAAGACAGGTAAGAAACCAGGCTAGAGGGAAGAGCCAAATCCTGGAACACAGCGTAGCCAGTACTTTCGAAAAAGCAGAAAACAAAAGCATTTCAATGAAGGAAAACAATGCCATCTCTGTTTTCAGGAGGCTTTGGTTCTTATGGGAGAGAGATCTTACGAAATGCATCTCACCATTAGTTACTTAATACTACTTAGGGGCCACCGGACACAGTGGCTCACGCCTGTAATCCCAGCACTTTGGCAGCCAATGGTGGGCGGATCACAAGGTCAGGGTTTCACTGTATTAGCAGTGAAACCCTGTCTCTACTATAAATACAAAAAATTAGCTGGGCGTGGTGGCACATGCCTGTAGTCCCAGCTACTCAGGAGGCTGAGGCAGGAGAATCACTTGAACCTGGGAGGCAGAGGTTATAGTGAGCCAAGATCATGCCACTGCACTCCAGCCTGGGTGACAGCAAGACTCTGTCTCAAAAAAAAGAAATACTATTCAGGGGCCTTGAAGAAGAGCAGGGAGGCAGGCTGTGTGATGGCAGGGGCAGATCTGAGAACCCAGAGGTTCAGGGAGGACCTCTTGAAAGAAGAGATGCTCAAGCTGAGATATACATGGATGGGGCAAGGGTGGGCAACAAGACGAGCATCCAGAGTGACCCCAAGTTGTAGGGGTGAAGCGCCCAGGAGAATTAAGAATGGCTTGCAAATGTCTGGGAGGGTAGTGGGGACATTCACAGAACAGAATTGTGTGGGTGTGGGAGAGCTGGAAGACATGGCTGCTGCCCTAGGGGCCTCCTGTGAGAAATTGACCACCACCTGCTGAGGTCTGGCCTGCAGACCCTGACAAGGACGATGGGTGAATGAATGCACTCTCACACCATTACAGTGATTCAAGTGGGCTAGGGATGGTCCTTGGCTGCTTTCAGAGGGCAAAATGTAACCAGTTGACCAAAACGCCCTGTCCATCCACACATTTATTCATAACAGAGGCTCTAAATTAACACACCTGTGGATAATTAACATGGTTAAAAGAATTGTTTTACAATTGATGAAAGCTTTAGGCTCCCGGTCCAGAGTAAACACTACTAATGGGTAATTCCCCTTTGATCTCCCCTTGAGAGGACCATCCAGCACAAAGTTTACATGACTAAACAGTTAGAGACAAAGGGATGTGGGGTAAACAGACTTAGACTGGGAAAGCCCCTATCGTCCCTATCTTTTACCTAACGTGGACCTGAGGCCTTTGGCCTGTCCCAGTGAAACCTTTTGGCCTTTCAAAAGGTTTGAGACTAATCTATAACTTTCCCTAATATTTCTTTAATATTTTGCCAGCCACCTCGTGTGAATCTCAACATTCCTGCCTAGGACTTCTTGGGAATTCTTGGGTAATTCTTCAGAATTCTTCATAATTCTTAGGGCCCCTTCAACTTGAATAAGCCTGTATCCTATGCTGAATTAGTCCTAAGAAGCGACTGGAGAGGCAGCCCCAGGCCCATGGCTTTCTCAAGCACGTCCCTGCAGTTCTCAGGAGACCAGGGGCAGCGGCTCACGCCTGCAATCCCAGCACTTTGGGAAGTCAAGGAAGGTGGATCACTTGAGGCCAGGAGTTAGAGAGCAGCCTGGCCAACATGGCGAAACCCCTTCTCTGTTTAAACTACAAAAATTAGACAGGCATTAGTGGCAGGTGCCTGTATTCCCAGCTACTTGGGAGGCTGAAGCATGAGAATCACTTGAACCCATGAGGCGGACGTTACAGTGAGCCAAGATTGCACCACTGCACTGTAGACTGAGCAACACACTCTGTCTCAAAAATTAAAAAGAAAAAGAGTTCTCAGGCAGCCAGACCCGAACCTCATTGGTTCAGGCTGTGGTCTTCCTAACCCCGCCAATTGCTCCGGATGGCCCCAACGAGGCTGCCTTCTGAAGAAACAGCCCGGGGTGGGCAGAGCACAGAAGTCAGTTCATGGGAAGATGGGAGTTATTTGGTGCCACACAATGAGGGTCATTCAAGCTATGGCATCACAGTTTTCATTCAGTGCAGCATCTGGAGACTTTGGGCTGTGATTCTTGTGCATGGAACTGACTGGAAACAAGTGGGAAGTCTTCTAAAGTTTCAAAAGAACTGTTTTTCCACCAAAACCTAAAATGCAATAAAATAAATAAATGGGAAAAAAAAAAAAAAGAACTGTTTTTCCAAAGAAACCACTCACCCTAATGCATTACAGGCCCCGTGGCAGCGTTCCAGCCTGGATGATGGGAAAGAAGTATTTCTC